TTTTTTTTTTTTTTTTTTTTAATAAAACAACAGTCTCCTTTATCTGTAAAGGAGACTGTACAAATTTAATGAAAAAAAAATCACAGTAAGCTATTTTTTCCATTTTTAATTTAATGAACTTTGTGGCCTGCCAGCAATTTAAATGTGTCAGTTTTGGATCCCAGAACAAAAAGTTTGGATACCACCAGTCTAGAAGAACCTCTGTTACATTACTGGGTTTGGTTCCAGAAACATCCATATGTGACTCCATAATTTCAGTGTTAATAAAAAGAGACTTTTTAAAATGTTTTTTTTCTCCTTCTGTTATGTTTCTGCGTACTGAACCCCAGTTCGGGTTTATCAGAGGATCAGATCAGAACGTAACCCTTAGCTCAACTCTGCCAGGCTGAAGCTATATCCAGTAACACATCATCTGTTTATGAGTGTGTTAAGGAATCCTTTTGTATTGTGTTGCCTGTGGGTGGGTGTGTTTGCTTTTCTTTTTAATTCGTCTTCCTTGTTCCTGAATAGAGTGTGTTCTCCTGTGATATGACTAGTGAAACACCTCTGTAAAAACATCCGTGTGTGACCAGAAGCTCAAGAGCTTCTTTAGATCCTCCAGAAGGCATGGAGCAGGTGTAGAGGGCTTGCTGTAATTTGGGCAGCAATATCTGTGTTGTAACAATATTCCATGGTAATAATTCTGATGCCATTCAAAAGTGAGTTTGTTTCCAATGTGAGGAAAATACTGAAGAGGATGTGGGTTAAAACATGAAGAACCCACCAGATCCTTGTTTGAAAGAACAAGACGTACTGGCAATATAACTGTGTATGTAACAAACAGGGGCCTCAGTAGTTTGGAACAGAATCGATCATAATGGCAAGAGATTGTTAGGCCAGCTCCCCCTGCAGGCTGACCAAAGCTACTGCAGACTGACAGGGATTCTGGGGTGAAACGGGGCAGAACGTAGGATTTTGGTGTGACCTGAACTCAACCAGCCTGAGGAAACCTGGACTAAGCCGGGCTCTGTTCCCGCTTTAATCATAAAATCCTCCTGACTCATGGATAGATAGGACAGTCTGGCGTAGTTTCTAAATGTTCTCTGTTCTCTTGATGTGTTCAGGCGTGAGTCAGAGAGGAGGAACCATTCGTTGGCCCGCCACGCAGACATCCTGGCTGCTGTGGAAACGCGCCTCTCTCTGCTCAACATGACCTTCATGAAGTATGTCGACTCCAACCTGTGCTGCTTCATCCCCGGAAAGGTGATACACATGCACACTCTCGCACACACACAGGCCTCCTAAGCTGTTTAGTTGATACTGAGGATGTCCATTTTGACTGTGGGAGTTTTTTAAACGTTATTCTTTTATAACAGACAAAATTTAGCCTGGCTATGTATTTTATAGCAACACTATTATGCAAAATTGACTATTTTGAGCTATGCCTTATGTTTCAGTGTTATTCCCTCATCAAAAATATACCTTGAGTGTTTTTGTGCATGTTTGAGGTATCCTTTCATCTCCTATGGCAACCATTCAGATGTGCAAAACGCCCGGTTGGACCAGACCATTTCAAATTAGATGGTGTGCAAGTGTTTGTTAAATGGGTCAAGTGGTCCTCAGCCTGAAAACGTTTGAGAACCACTGCTACAAAATAACACTATGTATCTGTAAAATGCATAGTACTACCCCTGTAAGGTAAATCTGGCAACAGTCACATTGCTATTGCTTTTGTTAACTGTTGTTTGGACTCTGTAGAAACACATTTTCATTTTGTCTGCACCACCGCTGCATGTGCAGCTGATTGACAGACATGTCTGTCTCCATGCTGTCTCAGAGCCTGCTTGATCACCTTTCTCTGGCATGAGACTTCCTCCTCTGTGTGCTGAATGCCAGAGACATTTCCTGTTTGCTCTTAGAGCTGCTGCAGGTGTTTACCCAGTGTTTTCTGGATTAAACCTCTGCAGGAAGTAGCCTTCAGGTTCAGATCGGTCCTCTTCTCTCCTGTACCTGGGAGTCCAAATGACAAATGGCCATTGTGCTGAGATAAGCAGACAGTGATGTTTCTGTTGGCAGGTGATAGACGAAATCTACCGCGTGCTGCGCTATGTGAACTCCACTAGGGCCCCCCAGCGGGCTCACGAGGTCCTCCAGGAGCTGAGGGACATCTCCTCCATGGCCATGGAGTACTTTGACGAGAAGATCGTCCCAATCCTGAAGAAGAAGCTACCTGGGACCGATCTGTCTGGACGGCTCATCGGTTCCGCACCAGGTTCGCTTCCTTTGCTTGCTCGTGGCTTCTAAAAGTTAGCCAAACTGAAATTTTTAAAACTGCAGAATATATTTTTTATTAAAAAAATATATAATTTTTACTTTTTTTTTTTTTTTTTAACTGTCGGGACAGTTGATGAGGCAGGTAATTTGTGAAAAGATTGATCTTCTCCCTGAGCTGCTATTGCCATCTGAAGAAATGCACTGCTCTATATCAGACACAACCAATCAGAGCCAGGGGGAGGGTCTTAGCGCTGTCAATCACTCTTGCATATGCCTTCTCACTGTGCTAATGGCTAGTTAGCATGGCCGCTGGTGACAGTGGTTAAAAGTTTTTTCATGGAACAGCAAGTCTTTGTTCTACACCGCACATTCAGGAGCAGGTACATGGGGTTGATTGACGGCACTAAAACACTCCTCTTGACCGATTAGATGTTTGTGATCTGGAGTGGTGCATTTCTTCAGCGGGCAATAGTAGCTCAGGGAGGAGATGGAGGAGATTGATCCATCAACAGGTTATCTGTCTCATAATGCGTTGTCACGGCAAAATGTTATGATTAACCTGCATGTTCCTCCTGGTTGTGAAGCACCGACTTTGATTGGCTGCCATGTCTCCTCAGTGGCTGGGCCCTCCACCTCTCTGACCACCATGTCGCTGCTGGCCAAGAACACGCCGTCCCGCTCCGAGATGACCAAGGTGCAGCAGCAGGTGAAGGTGAACGGGGCGTCCATGACAGCACTGCGGCGGGAACTGCAGGAGGTGCGGGTGAAGCAGCTGGAGCAGCAGAAGCAGCTGCAGGACCAGGAGCAGAAGCTGCTGGAGCAGAGCCAGGTGATGGGCGAGCAGAATGCCCGGCTGGCTGAGCTGGAGCACAAGCTGCGCGAACTCATGGACAGCAGCGCCGCTGCCGCCATGGGGGAGGCCCGGTCCTCCGCGCCTGCCGCCACCGGCGCATCCGCGCCAATGCTGGCGAGCAGCGGTGCATCAGTGGCCGCAGTGCATGGCGGCGCGGAGGGCGAGGGCACTTCATCGCTGAAACGCAGCAGAAAGAGCTCAGACCTTCCACGACAATCCAAACGGCTGCGCAGCAGGAAGTGACTCGCTGCCTCGTGTAAGTGTTGTAGCCAGTTTCCTGTTTTGACTGACCACACTCTGTATCCAGTGCCCCACGTCCGCTTCCCCCCCCACTCACCTTGCATCACTTGCGCCATCTCACTCATGCCACGATGTGGACGCGCTCCAGCCGTGTCGCACTCTTCACCAGTGTTCTGAAGCTCACCGACATCAATAGACGCATGACCGAAGACAGGCCAGGACAACGTGGACATGGTCAACATTAGGATGTCTCCCAGAGAATTGGTCAGACCAGCTGGTGGTCAGCAGGCTGCAAGACAATACCCAAATGCCGCACCAATACTCCTCCTTTTCACCCAGAGAACCAGAACCCCGTTTGCCAGGAGAACCCCGTTCACCAGGAGAACTCTGCAGGTGTGCGTGGACTTTTCAGGCCCTGTCCTCATTATTTGTTCAGTCAGGTCCACTTCCTCCTGTGGACAGCCAGTATGAGTACTCCTAACCACCAGTCGACACTGTCAATTAGGTTCTAATCGACAGTGCTAGAAGCTCCGCCACCTACTGGTGTGATCCAGTCAGCGCACCCAGTATGAGAACTCCTAACCACCAGGATGTCCCTCAGCGTGTTGAAGACGTCGGCCCACTCAATTCACGTCTCTTCTAACGTTCATTTCCCTCTAGAGGGCGCTACTGAAGGTTGAGGTAGCTTGTTTGAGATTTCTGTTAAAGCAGAGATTGCTCAGATTTTTTTTTGTATTATTATTATTATTATTATTATTACATTTTTTAATGAAGTAACATTTCAGCATTATTCCAGTTTCACACCATGTGACCCTCGGCTGCAGCTTGATGTGAGACGACCTCAGAAGCTCCTTCATTGCCCAAACTCTCCAGTCTTTGCAGATAAATCCCATAATTCATAGTCCAGCTTCCTTCGCTCTAGGGACAAGCTGGTAACCATGCCAATGTTTTAGGTTTTCTAAAGCCACTAAAAAGTTCCTGCAAGTGAATCTCCAGAGAGAGAACCACACTGATCAGAGTCCTGTCCAGCTCAGTGAGGGCATAAAGCGGCCCCTCCCCAACATATTGCTGGCTGACAGTTGAATTACCAACTGGAAATAGTTCTGTTCCTGGGGGGAAAGAGGGAAATGGAGTGCCACCTGTCTTTCTTAAGGTAACAGTTCTTAAACTACAGCTAACAAGCTGTTGAAGATGAGAAATCTACATTTTTATTTATAATCCTACGTTATCGATTGGATTATTAACAACTGCAATAATAAATGGATCCTTTTGACAGCAGCAGGAATAAAATGATGCTGTCTGTGGTCCTCATGGCGTTGGGTAAAATCATGTTTTAGATTTCTGTTAGAAATACAATATCATCCGCCTACTATGATCCATATCTGGCATGTTCAGCTCACCCACCTCAGTTGGTGTCATGTGTGTAACGTGTCCGAAGGGTTTAAACCCAGTTTTAAAGCTAATACGTGAAACTGAAGGATATCATGAAGGTTCGGTTTGGCCCTGAGGCTCACCCAGAGGAAGAAACTGATGTTGACATCATCATGCAGCCTGAGCACCGCCCAACACAACCGGCTTCCATTTAAAGGTCAGGTGTCCGTTCTCCTTTAAATTCCTGGGGGGGAAAAAAGATTCAAGCTTTCCGATTCTTTCCATTAAGAAACCACACAAAAATACAATCTAGTAGAAAGCAGCCCACGGTAGACCCTAAGGAGCATGTTTATGCTCATACTTTCCCTTCCAGTCCTAGTGAAAACAGAAGCTGTGAGTGGTTTGCAGTGATGACGGAGGAGCTACAGGTGCTCATGGTGAGCAAGGTCTCTCTGCTGCTCTCCTGTACAAACTCTCCTCCTACCTGGAGCTCCTAGCTTAGCTGTGAAGTCATCGTGTGGCTACTTTTTTCTTTCTTTTGAAGCGTTTCTGTTGTTTGGACAAGCCGAACCACTCATGGCATGACTCTTTGGAAATGCACTTGTGTGTATAATAGTAACACTGGGCTGCAGAACATGCAATGTAATCTAGTGGCTTATAATGAGAGAACTTGTACTGTAATCTCCATGTACTTTAAGATGTAGATTGTCAATGATTTCATGTTTGTAAACAAAGAAACTTATCTTTTAAGTTGGCCAGTTTGGGCCTGACTATGAAGTTTTGTTGCACATATTACTGTTACGATGTATAAACCAAACCTATTAAATCTCTACAGCTGTTCAGCTCACTTTCTGGTTTTTGTACTAACTATGAATCTTCATATAGGCTCTCGCTGCAGGAGAATAGTTCAGTTTGGACACACTGACTCAAACACACATACATCACTTGTCTATAGATGGATTATAGTTGCAAAGAGCTGGAACCAGAACCAAAAAATGTATTAAAAATGCGAAAGTTACTAAGGTTTTTTTTTTTTTTTTTTTTATCTACTCAACAAACTACATTTATGAATCTGTTTATCATTAAGCAGGGTTTTCCTGGGGGGCCACCAGGCTTGTTAATTATTTGTCTTTCTAAAATGTTAAAAAAAAATTTAAGACTTTATAGTTGGTGTTGAGGTATTAACCTTACATGTTTATCAAGATTCCTGTCAACTTTTAACATTTTTTAACTCAAAAACACGATGGGCCGCTGGATGAATGACTACCCTGGCACCCAAGCACCCAAAGTATTCTGGGGGAATCCTTGTTAAAGATCCAAAACACATAAACGGTTTTGATGTTGCCTTATTAAAAGAAAAACAGACAATTTCCAAATTTTGGGATAATCAACTGTTTTTCTTTTATTTTATTTTGTTGGCCAAATTATTACCACTCCTCAGGGGCCACAAATGAACGCCTGCTGTCATTTGTTTCTTTTCTTTCTCCTTTGGATGCCCATAACTATGTGTACAATAACAAAATCATGTCTAGTTAGTTTTAGATAATTCAAGTTCTCACTATTTTTACTGCATTTTCTTTATAAATGCAATTTGATTTTATTTTTTTTTTTGCATTTATTAGAAGTAAATACTTTAGAATTACAGTTTGAGAAATCATAAATCTGAACCTAAGTATCTGTACTTAGCATAGAATAGGCTAGATGAAGCTAACTATTTATGTAGGCGTTTGTTGTGCTGCTGGGTTCTGTTTTAATATTGATTTTCAACCTATTGTAAATCCTCATATATGGAATAGAATTAAAATTCAGTTCAAAAATACTTTGTTAATCCCAAAGGGAAATTAAATTTTGTTGTAGCTCATTAATTCAGATTCTTCACAGAGTTATTGTAGACGGTGATGGCTACAAGAAAGATCTCTTGTAGCGGTCTGTATTACAGCAAATCTGAAGAAGCCTCTGACTCTGTTTTCTCAAGACAGTCTCATGAAGAGGATGTTCAGTGTTGTCCATAATTTTCTTGACTTCATGAAGAATCCTTCTTTGCATCGTCATCTCCAGAGGTTCCACGGTTGTCCCCAGAACAAAACCAGCCTTCTTCATCAGGTTTTTGAGCCTTTTTAGGTCCCTGGCTCTGATGCTACTGCCCCAACAGATGACGACAGAAGAGATGACAAACTCAAAAACAGACTTATAGAAGATCTGCTGCATTATTTCTGCAAACCTTGAAGGATTTTAGCTTCCTCAAGAAGTCCATTCTGCTCTGTTCCTTCTTATAGACTGCTTCACTGTTGCATCTCCAATCCAGTCTGTTGTCCAGATGAACACTGAAATAGTTATACTCCCCTCAACCACCTCCACTTCTTCTCCCATGATTGAAATAGGGTTTGATCTAACCCTGTTTGTCCTGAAATCAACAATCATATTCTTTTTGTTTACATTCAAGATGAGACTGTTCCCACACAATGACACAAAGCGTTCCACCAAATCTCTGTACTCAGCCTCTTGTCCATTTCTTACAGACCCAATAACTGCAGTCATTCGAGTATTTCTGGAGAGGACAGAAATCAGACTTGTGCATGAAGTTTGAAGTGTAGAAAGTGAAAAGGAATGATGCGAGTACAGCTCCCTGAGGTCTCCTGTGTTGCTGACTACCTGGTTAGACACATTCGTTCAGTCTCACAGACTGTGGTCTATTTGTGAGGTAGTCATAGATCCAGGTAAATGTTGAATGACAGTATCACATTTAGTCATATAGTTCAGGTAAAGGAAGTTCTGGAGCTGTTTTTCATCTACAGTATCTGCTGAATAGGACCTTTTTCACTCTGTGTGCAGGTATGTGTCTGGTTAGTTGTAACATGAAACTTCAGCTGCTAAACCCCCCCTCACACACACACACTCACGGAAAGACAGAATGTCATATGATACTTTGCCATGTCTGAAAACAAAAGACAAGCTATTCACTTTACAGCAGCACACTTGCTTCTGTTCTGTGTTATTCAGGGCGAACAGACTGCTCCAATTTTACAACCTTTACATTTAAATGTTTACTTCTGGTGACACTTCAGATCTTTCCTGTATGTGGGGCAACCTGGAATAAGCTTTTCAAAATTGCAACTGTGTTGAGATTTAAATAATCTAGAGAAGTTTTGTGAACAGAAAAGGAGAAGTACAGCTCATTGCAAATAGGAAATTTGCATAACTGTAGCAAACTGAGATCATTTTTACAACAGAGTAAAAATAAGAACATGTGCTGCTGTTTTATTATCAGGTTATGGTGTCCTGGGACTGACAAGGATGTTATACATGGCCTTGTTTAAACCTTGTGGAGTATTAATATATTTCTGTATTAAAATTTTATGTTTTTTTTTATTGGTGTAATGTAATATTCTTATCTTAAATGTCATGTTTTAATTTTCGTTGGAATAAGAAATTTATCATAACAGAAATAAAGGCTCAAAACTGTGTGGATTTATTGTTATTTATGGGGGTCATGGACCACAGAGCTTTGGATAGCTAAAATATGCAAAGACTTAAGACCCCCTCTAAAAACATGTGTCTATTTCAATACCCTAAACACGAAATATACCTTAATATGCCTTAATACACAAAGTGGAAACCGTCTTAGCTAACACCTACAGTCTTCCTCATAGACATAATATAAGGATAGACGCCTCATGGACCGCTCTCGCCTATTGTCGCT